TATGTGCAGGGCCCGCCTGGGGTCACTGTCCTTCACCCCACCCCGCCTCAGCCATGGTCCCTTTCCCCTGGTCTGGAAGCAGGGAGCAGCCCCAGGCCTTGGGCTCAGTGGTCAGTCAGGGGTCAGGGTCACAGGCTTTGGAGTCTCTGCCCCATTTCCATGACTTCCCCAGGTTCTCTGTGCACTCCCACCATGCTCCCCACCTCGCCCTCCTTATCTCCTCAGGCGACACCCTGCCCAGCCTGCCCTGCCATTCTCCTAGGCAGTGCACCATCATGGGACACCTGCCAGTCTGTCCTGGGGGAGGTGACCTCAGGGTTGAGCTCTGCAGGAAGCCCCCAGACACTTCCCTCCTGCACTCCACTTACCTGCCAAGACAGCAAGTGACTGCCCCGCCGAGTCGCACTGCCTTTCTGCAGCTGAGGCCTGCCTTCTCCTGAGGCTTAGGCTCATCCCTGCAGCTTTGCTTCTGGGACCCACCCGCTGCTGAGCAAGCTGCTGCTGTCATGCTCTTGACCAGCTCCCCGTCTTCCCCTAAGTTTGCTGGGGTCTCACGAGGAGAAGGCAGTCGTGGCTGGAATCCTGCAAGCCATCTCACATGCAGAGTCACCCCCTGGCATGGGTGGGTATGGCCAGTTCTTTTTTCTTTCTTTCTTTCTTTCTTTCTTTCTTTCTTTCTTTCTTTCTTTCTTTCTTTCTTTCTTTCTTTCTGTTGTACCAGGGATTGAACTGAGGACCTTGCCCATGCCAGGCAGGCACTTATGCCACTGAGCTGTCTCCCTGGCCTTGGCCAGTTGTTCTGTTTACAGACGACACTGTTATAGGAACTGAGGCCATCAGAGTCACAGTCCAAAAGATATAGGATTGGAACCCAGATCACAGTTTGCTTGTTAACACTACTCCAAGGGATATGGACTCCCAATCACAGGCCAGGCCCACGCAGACCATTGCAAGGGTGAGTGGTGGGACCATGGTAAGTATGATCAACTCTATTAGTTTGCCATCCCTGGGACAAAAATCTGACCCCCACAACTGAAAGGTTTACTTGGCTCACAGTTTCAGGGGGTTCAGTCTGTGGCGGCTGGCTGGCTCTGAGGCAGCATGGCCTGGTGGAGGGGCTGGAGGAGCAAAACTGCTCAACCATGGTGGACAGGAAGCAGAGAGAGACAGGAAGGGGCCGGGGATGGGCATGCACCCTTTCAGGTCCCATCCTATTGCCCAGCTCCTAGTGGCACTTTCAGTCAGGAGTGCATTAGTGGACCCAGCCACCTCCCACCTTCCAGAAGCTCCATCTTAGCTCTTCAGATCCGAGCCCTAGGACCAGCTGCGAAGCGCCTGCCATTTGCATTGCGTGGGTCACCTCAAAGCACCAGCTGACGTCTAATAGGCAAGCACGAGGGCCCAGCATGGCCAAAGCGATGAGTTTTCAAGAGATGCTAACCAGTGTGGCCCGTATGTGGGTCCGAGCCTTTCAGAAACTGGCCAGTCACGAGCCCCGGGACCCGCCCCACCGCTCGCTGCCCTGATTCCCACTCACGGCGCAGCGCTCTTTTCCCTTTAAAAGGCCACGCACCTGCACGATCTCCAGCATCTCCGCCTTGCTGATGTAGCCGTTGCCGTCCAGGTCGTACATGCTGAAGGCCCACTTCAGCTTCTGCTCCAGCTTCCCCCTCGAGGTCACGCTGAGGGCGATGATGAATTCTCTAAAGTCTATCGTCCCATCGCCGTTGGCATCGAAGGTGCGGAAGACGTGCTCTGCGAACTTGGAGGCGTCCCCATAAGGGAAAAAGTTCCCGTATATTTTCTTAAACTCCTCCATGGACAAATGTCCGCTGGGGCAGTCTCTCAGGAAGCCTTTGTACCACTCCTGGATCTCGTGCTCCGTGAAGTCCGTGCTTTCCAGCAAGTCCTGCATGACCTCGGGCCGCAGCTTGCTGTTCTGTTTCCCCATCCCGGCGGCGGCGGTGGCGGCGGCAAGAACTCAGCTGCAGAGGGGAAAGAAAACACGCGTCAGGTGCAGGGCTGTTCTCCCCTGACCGCTGGCGATTATTCCTTGGGAAAAAGAGAAAGCAAACGAACGAACGATCAAGCCAACGTGGGCTGGTCCCCTGACACTGGTTCCCCCTCTGCACAGGCTCTGTGAAGGCTGACGCTCTAGTGCGGAATCCAAGTGCTAGCAGGAGAAATCAAGGCGGAAGAGGAAGACGGAGACCACGACAGAATTTAGCATGTTTTGTTGCTCAAATACTGCCAGGTGAAGTGAAAATAAGTTGACTTGTGTTCTGACTTTGCACTGCAGGCAGAACCTGGCTCTGGTCTTGCGTCTGGGCAAGAGAGTGCATACGCTGCTCCTCATGCGAGAAGCAAGCAAAGCGCACTTTCTACAAGAGCGAAATTAAACTTCAGCTCCAAATAGAGCACAAATAGAAGTTATAAATTGAATATTCCAATAACTTTCTCTTCCCTCTTGTGGCTTTATTTTCCTGGAGGTTGAGGGGAAAAAAAGTTTGAGAAAGAAAAAATGTAAAACTGTCATTTTGTTGCTAAGCTGGCAGTTTGCCTAAGGACAGAACTCAGACGCATATAAGGCAACACACAGTACACGAGGCTGCGGAGCTCCAAACGCTTCATGGAATTTACAAGTAATTTCAAGTTTTCCTTTTGGGGTGATCTTTAGAATGTGGTGTTCAATCAAACCACCATGATTACAGTTTTGCTATTTGCAAATCATATTGGATCTGGCCTTTGGGAAGGATATTTAAATCTAATCCTTTAAAGAATGATTTTTTTCCCCTCTGCATGCAAAGCACTGTTTCTTCAAAACTGAACTTAAGTTCTTTTCCCAATGCTTAAGAAGTCTCTCATTTATTAGCTGCTTTTCACTAAACACAAATTGCCTCAACCTTCGGCTTTGGCTCCTACCGAGACTGATCTGTGAGCAGTTATTTTTCAGTAAACAATAATTACAGCACATTTACAACATCATGAGCACAGAAAGGCCATAACACAAACAAGGCAGAAGAGGGCAGAATAAGTTGTTTGTGGAGTGGGTGCTTGGAATTTAGTCCAGAATTTGTTTCGGTAGATAGCGGCAACACTTCACTAAGTACGGTGGCTGACCAGAAGAAAACCGTCTGGATGTGCTTAGACAGGAAGACAAATCTGCAGGGCGTGTGGCAGAGTTCCACTGCCTGGAGGGGCAGGAGGGAGAGGGGGATGCTTGGCCGCGCCTTCGGAGGGCAGGGATGTCTGCCTGCTTGAGTGGAAGGAGAGAGGCAGAGAATTACACCAAGTGGCAGCAGAGGAAGACAAAAGCTGCATCTCAGGTCACATCCTGTCCCTCACCCCATGCAGTCCCTCAAGACTGAGCTGGTACCAGGAGAACATGGGGGGAGCCCAGGACATAGAACAAAACATGCGTGGCTGCAGAGCCTGGCCCTGCGGGCCACTTAAGTTCTCGGCGCACTTCGGACTCCCCATCTGTAACACGGATTCAGTCCTTCAGGCTCATCTCTCATTGCTTTGATACAAGAAGTGAATATGACAGTCCCAGTTGTGAAACTCCAGTCTTGAGTTAGGGACCAATTCAGGAGAATGAAAAGCACCGTATCTTCGATGGTTGCTATGGTTCTGATCTGGTTTGTTCTCAAAGATCAGCATGCCAGCAGCTGGAGCCCAGGGTGGTGGTGTGAGGTGGGGGACCCTTAAGACTGGAAGGCAGACAGGTTGTGGGGCTGGGTGCCGGCCCACAGTCAGGAAGGGAGCAGGGCTCCAGGAGGGGTTGCTCTGCATGTATGCACAGGGGGTGGGGTGGTACCGAGGAGCCAGCGTGGTCCTTTTCAGCTCTTGCTTTCTGCTAGCCTGTGACTTCTCTCCCTCTTCCATGTGCCACCTGTCAGGCTGTGCTACAGCCCGAAGTCCCTCACCAGAGGCCACACAGATATTGGAGCCTGATATTGGCCTTTCAGTTTCAAACAGCAAAATACAGTTTTTGGCATTAAGTTCTCAGTCTCTGGTATTTTGTTACAGTAACACCAAAGGGACCAAGACAGTGGTCTGTCACACATTATTTTATGGAACCTCCACAGCAACTCTGTGATGGGCAGGTCAGCCTTTTCTACTCTCGAAGCAAACAAATGAAGAAGCCTCCGAGAAGCCAAGTATGCTGTCCCAAGCCACACAGCTTGTTGCTCAGAGTCCAGTCTGTGAGCTTGGTTGCTCCCTGGTGGCCCACGGGTTTTTCCACCTTGCCCCATGCCCTACAATGAACAAAGCACTGATGAAAATGATGACATTTGGTAAACATTCAGGAGGAAGCAGAGAAGAGGGAGAAGAAGCCCACCGCCGCAGATGCTCTCCTTAAGCAGGTGCCACGTGCTCTGCAGGAGTGGGTGTGGGGAGGCATGGGCAAAAACCCATCCTCCAGGGCAGCTCACAGTCCTGGGAAAGAGGTGCAGTAAGTAACAGAAATGAGTGAAATCTGGACAGACATGTGCCAAGGAGAAAAGTGAAGAACAGGAGGGAGCGAGGGGATGGTGTTGGGGTTTCAATGCGCAAGCCCAGAGGCCTGCCTGAAAGTGACCTTGAAAAGCCCTGAGCAGTAAGTGAGGAGCAGGGAGACAGCTCGGGAGAGGCCAACCCCGGCAGAGACAGCAACAGATGGTGAAGTCCGACTGAGGCCACATGCCCTGACAGCAAGCGCCAGGGCAGGACAGAGGGGATGACATCAGCAGGGCTGGGCCAGGAGGCCGGGGCCTGGAGGTGACCAGGAAGGCTTGGGCCATTACTCTAAGCGCAGAAGTGATGGGGGCGACCACACTGTCAGGTCCTTGTGGCCACAGAGGCCAGAGTAGGAGACCAGCAGGAAGGCCCATAGCCATGTGACACGGGCAAGGGGGCTGGCCCTGGGGGGAGGCAGCAGGCTGTAGGTACAGCCTAAAGACAGAGCCTGTGGGATCGACTGGCAGTTCAGAGGTAGGAAGGGACAAAGAACATCAGGAGACTACAGTCCTAAGGTTTGTCCTGAGCAACTAAGTACAAGCGACACTGACATCGACAGAAAAGGGGACAGTGGAAGAGAAGCAAGGCTTTGGGGTGAGTCAGGGGCCAGGCGTCTGTGCTTAGCTGTGCAGCCTGAGTGCAGAGACCCACCCAGGTGGAGACACAGCCAGCTAGACACGTGAGCCTCGAGTCAGAGGACTTGTGCCTTTCAATCTTAATCTTAAGTGGCAATGTGACTGCATAAGGAAACTCCTGGGATGGGCCTGGAGCCGGGGGGCCTCCACTCAGCAGCGGGCACCGTGATGGCCATGGCTGAGTGTACGGTGGGAGGTGGGGGTGCAGCCGGAGGAGGGGGCTCCCTGGGGTCCCCCTGTGGGGTTTTCTCCTCCTGTGCTCTGCTTCCTGGCCACTGTGAAAAGCAGCTTTGGCCTGCCAGGCCCCTCGGGTACAATGCCCCTTCCTGGAGACAGGCAGCCACGGACTGAAGCCTCTCTTCCTGGGGCTGCGTGTCTCACGGCCTTTGTGCCGGCACTGGGAAAGCTGACTGAGACAGAGAAAATACACGTTCAGCAGTCACCCGCAGAGTCACTGGGCTTAAGGCAAAGCCAGCGTGACTGAGGGCTGAGGCTCAGGCACCGTGGGAGATGGGGTGGAAGCTGGGCAGTCTGGTGGGAAAATGCAGAGGCCGGGCCTGCGGTGTCCCTAGCGTGTGCTTTTCGTGCTCCACTGAAGGTTGCCCACTGAGAGTGCTCACCGCGGCAGAACAAAGGACTGCAGCTCCCGCTGACGGTGTGAGTGCTGTGGCTGCCCCCGACCCAACCTGCCCCACCTCAGTAAAGGAAGCCACATTTGAGCCGGCTGCTCACTCGCGACTGAGGGCTCCTCCACGACTGTCCTTACTTTGGTCCCGTCAGTGTGGGCTGCGGGGTCTGGGCCCAAGCCCCGCTCAGTCCAGTGGCTGTCATCATCTGCATCATCGGCACTGCAGTCCCAGCTACACCGCCTTCTCCCGCGCTGCCTTCGCTGGACTCTCAGGCTCGCTCTTGTCCTCCCTCTCCCAACTCCTGGCCCCAGCCTCGTCTCACTTGGGCCCCCAGGGGGGGTGTCTAGAGACACAGCCAGACAGCGTCACACCTCTGCACGAGGTGCTATCTAGGTTCCCAACACTCCTAGAACTTGTTCGGAGCCCTCCTGTCCTCCGGGCCACGTGGTGCTGGGCCACCTCCACCTTCGCTCTGTTCCAGGGTCCTGGCCTCCAGGACATCCCTCCCTCACCTTTCACGGGCCTTTGTGTCAGTCCTGTATGTCTCCCGGGGCTCAGAGAATAAACTAGGAGTTAATGCTGACCAGCAACAAAAGAGAAAAATGTACAAGAGAAGACACCAAACCACTAACAAGCAGGAAGCTCAAATGCAGGGCCAACTTTCATTTAAAAAGAAAAATAAAGGAGTAGTGACTGCAAGGCTGTCAGCATGAGAGGCGCTGCCAGCCGGGTAGTCTCTCAGCTCCCGAGTCTGCGCGGGCAGAGGTCTGCATCGCAGCTTCTCGGCAGCGCCTCCCAAGCCCTGAGAGCGCTGCGATTGAGTTCCTCAGAGCACAGAACTAGATTTTCCAGGGAAAAGCGCACAGCTCACCCTGGCCAGCCTGGCCAGCTGCAGAAGGAAAGTCACAGAGCAGGCTGCCTCCACGGCTTCTCAGGTGGACTCTCGAGTAAGGCGCCAGCAGCTAAGTCAAGCTCGGCTGCATCGAGTGGCCCGCAAAGAACCAAGCTAATTAAAGCCCTCCCGTCACTTGTCCACTGAGAGTGGCTGTGAATTAGCCACTCATGGGACATCCAAATTATAATTATCATGGGAAAAAGGTACTTAACATGTCAGACAGGAAAGCAGTGAAGCTACAGATGAAGGGAAATAAGCCTTCCTTTACCACAATCTAGACAGTGGGCGTTTTAGCCACTCAGATGCTGGTTGTTACAATCCACAAC